CGCAAAACCGAACCATTGCCGTGTTTGTGAATCCGCTACAGTGTTTGGGTGCGCCGCGCTAATGTACCCGTGAAGAACGGTGCGTCGCATTAGTTCCGCTTTTGGCGCTCGCGTGTAAATTAAGTAATAAAATCGATTTTCATAAAAACACATCGTCCTGAACTGTAAATTCGAATTAATCGATAAAATCGATTTATCGCCCACCTCTACAAGCAGGCTTGTTTCAAATGGAAGTTTTTAATATCTCCACATGAATTGGTATTATTGGGAAGTTCAAGCATGGGTGATCAGACCTTTATGTAGTTCATATAAAATAATCTGTTTTTGTAAAAAAAAAAAAAAAAAGGACAGTTTGATGTTCCTGAAGTCCACCAGGGAGATGACATGCGGGATGCCGTCTCCTGAGTTTTTCCCAGACTGGCTGCAGAGGGCCAATCGTTTGTCCAGAAGCTTTTTTTTCTCCTGTGACTTGATTCCTCACTGGATTTCCTTTTAATGTTTCTTTTTTGGTTATGTTGCGTAATTACTGGATTCTTTGAACCTGCTGAGTCTCGAAACTTTCAGACGTGGGTGGTTTTGCTGAAGTTTTGTGGACTAGCCGCTCAAATTGGGTTTCATGTGGACCTATTAAAAGAAGCAATTATATTATTCTTTGTACTATGAAAGCCCAAGATTTCACACAACTGATAAAATATGACTTTCTGTTTGAAATGTAGACTGATTGTGAAGATTGTGAAGATTGGATGAAAGATCCCGTATGGGAACGCATAAAGAAAATAGAAAAGGACAAAAGTTTCCATTCTTGAAAAGAAAATGTGTCAGTTTAGAATGTGATTACATAATTGCCCTTTCGCTGTCTTCACGCTTTGTTCTGCAGATTCACTGTTTTAAAGGTTGTTCACTAATGATTTTGCTGCCAAAGCCAAATCGATCCTTTGGCCACTATTGCATCATCCATAAGACTCCTCGCAGGATGGGAACACACTTTGTCAATGATGAGTGTGATAAGATGGTATGAGATGGGCTACAGCATGCAGGGCCGCATGGAAAGAGTCAGAAGTGCTTAAGAAATGTTTGTTTTAGCTTTGCAGACCTAAACCATCTACTGGGGAGTGGGGAAGCAGGACTGACATTAGTTCTCATGATCGTTTACTAATCCTGAAGACTAGGCCATAATCTCGCCTGTGCCACAGTGTTTCTCTGCTGGATGTTGGCAGAATTTACTTTATTTGTTGATATTTCTGTATTTTTTTTTTTTTGTTTGTTTTGTTTTGTATTTTTAATGACCTGCCAATGTCTCATCTTTTCTTACTCTCTCTCTCTGTCGCTCCCTCCCCAGGTTGATATGACAGCGAAAGTCCCAGCCGGTTACTGAAGGTTCTCCATCCCGCTCTGTGAGATTTACAAGGCAAATGTTTGCCCGTCAGTGGAAACAGTTTGATTGAAGACACAAACCTTTGCCCCGCAGGTAATGCATATTTCATAAAAACCTTCGCCAAATGATGTGAAGTTATTTTTTCATGTGAACATGAACTCACTATATCGGGCACAGATGTCTGACTCACTTTTTGGAGGGGCGTCGTTTTATCTTTTCTAGTACTAACCTCTTCTCTTAATTATTCACTATCTGCCATGCCAAGAGGTATTTCCATGAATTTTATATGACTTTTTATAAAATGATAGTTATAGCAGTATGGTAATTTCTTTCAATTTTGTATTTCTTGGATAAATATAAATAGAACATAATTAGTAGTGTAATTACGTACTTAGTGTAGTTAACTATGTAATTAGTAGTGTAATTAACGTATTGGACCAGTCGAACCCGGTAAATTAGTGAGATCAGATTGGGCACTTGCAGAGTCTGGTGATCCCAGTGAAGGTCATGCTTTTTACATTTGGGGAGGCTTCGTCGATGATGGAACTTGGCAGATGAACTCCAATCGCTGCCCATCACCTTGGCGAACCCAGACGCTGCCCCTGCTATGCTCCAAATGTAGCTGGTGGTGGTGGGGGGGGGGGGCGGCTATCAGTTGCACATGACCTTCCTCTGCATTGGGTTGGCATGTGGTGTCTTCAGATTTTGGCCCCATACATCATTTCTTCATTGGTGTGATGTCATTGTGATATTTGTAGGGTAGCTGGTGTCATGCATTTCGTAGTCTTGAAGAAGACCACTGATTGGCTAAATGGATACGTGAACTTAGTCAGCTTTAGTGAAACTGACTGAGTGGATTCAGGTTGTTTTTGTCCTCTGCAATTACCGGGTAGCTATTATGGCAGAGATTCAGGCAAGATGTCTGAAATACTGACCTGCTCCTGGCCTGGGCTGTGGAGGGGGAACCCTGGAGGTGTGGAGCTTCGTTTGAAGGAGAGCTGCCAGGAGAACATGGCTCTCCTCACAGGGGAGCGACAAGTATGATCCGCGCTGCTGAAACCTCAGGCCCGCAAATATATCTATTGGGACCCGGCTGGCACCAGTTTCCACCGTGGTACCCCTCATAGGTCAGAGAGTGGTGGTCCTTGGGGGGGCTTCTGCACTCATCCAGAGCTCCCCACCCCCCCCCCCAGCCACAGGGCCCATTTGGTGGCATCTTGATGCATGAAGAGAGCCGGCGGTGTCACGCGTCCCTGTCATTGCTTCTATGCAGATGGATGACCCTCACGGCGAATTGGATCGCAGCACAAATGGGCCAGATTTGCAAATAAAGGAACGGGAAACACCAGAGGATTAGTTTATGGGCCGCGTCTGGTTTCGGGTCTGGGTTCCCTTTCATTTAGCTGGGCTGATACCAAGTGTCATCTTTCATTTAAAAAAAAAAAAACAAAAAAAAAACAGCTTAATTTAATGCACAGTTTCTGGGGCAGGTCACCAGACACGTTAGTAATTGTGCAGCTCACAGGAGGTGATTGTGTTTGGTGGTCCAGGGCTCAGTAGGTGGCGCTGTGGCTTCGCACTTCCGGCTTCCGAGTGTCCCTCAGCATGTTCTCTCCGTGTTCACGTGTCCTGGGTCCTCCAGTTTTCTCCCACAGTGCAAACACATGCAGGTCCATTGCGTTTTGTCCATAACTTGCCCTTGGAGAGTACTTGTGCATGGGCTAGTATCCTGTGCTGGGTGCCTCTGCCTCGTGCTCCCTAGGGTCGGCTCCAGGGCCCAGTACTGGATGAGTACTTATGGGAAAAGGATGGATGGTAATGCCTTTTTTCTGTCATTGAGGCTCTGAAGCTGGGACTCTTTTTCCGTGGATAAAGATTTTCCTGAAAAGTTAAAAATATAACTGGCAGGTTTGTTCTTTCTCCTTGGACACTGGTCCATCAGGCGTTTCTTACATGAAAATTTTATGCTCCCCGGCTGCCTGCAGAAGAGAGGGTTCTGAGCATCGGGTTCGAGATTACAACCTCACCTGAACAGAAACTGGTCTGTGTTTGCCCCCCCCCTCAGGTCTGTGCACCCAGCCGCCATGTTCTGGAAGTTCGACCTGCATAACACGTCCAACGTGGACAAGCTGCTGGACAAGGATGACGTGACGCTGCATGAGTTGATGGACGAGGATGATGTCCTGCAGGAGTGCAAGGCCCAGAACCGCCGGCTGCTCACATTCCTCAGCCAGGATTCGTGCATGCAGGAGATGGTGGCGCTGATCACGCGGGAACCCCCGCTGGACCTGGAGGAGAAGCTGCGCTTCAGGCGAGCTCCGTGGGGGGGCCTAGGGGTGTCCGGCTGTTGTCTTCGTCGGGACTTCATCTTACGCAGGCCTGAAGGTCGGCGTTCCACTTACGAGCCCGGAGACTACTCCAGTGGCGTCTCTAAACTGGGAACAAGGCCAGCCTGTGAAATCCATACTATGTTGCAAATCACGGTTTGGCAGACAGCCTTCGGATAGAAGCAGATTAGACTCAAATCAAGCGAGTGTACATAACGCGATGTGTGTGTAACTTCTTTAAGGATGTGTTTTATAGTGTTTTCCCACGTCCTATTTTATCAGTAAATAGTGGGCTTGCATCCAGCAGCCAGAGTGTCCTGGTGAAACCTTGATTTCACGTGTAGGGGATGGAAGTGCTCAGGGATTCACACACGTGTGTCGGGGGCTGGAGCTTCATTCGGGGCAGTACAGGGAAATGACAGCCGTAACCCCCCCCCACCCCAATGGCAGAAGGCAAGCAATGCCCAACCACCCCTCCCCCCCCCCCGCAACCTCCCCATCTGCCAATTTTTTTAAAACGAAAAGCAGCCTTGCTGTGAAAGTTGATGTTGGCTGTTTGGTTGCTTAGTTGTGTTTCTATGGTTAAGTCACTAAAAATAAACGTTTGCTGTGATGCCGAGTGCCTGGTTAAAGGGAAGTGCGTTTGTCAGCCTGCGGCTAAGCGTCGTGGGGGGATGGGATGTGGCGGGGGGGGTGAAGTCCTGGGATTTTCACACGACTTTTTCCATCTCCAGTTTCCTTCCCTTTCACTTGATCTTGATAAAACACAAAAATGCCCCCCCTCCCACAGCCATTTCAAAGCACAGACACGGTAGACGGTCGCCATGCCGTCAGTTCTCATTAACAGGCGGCCAGCTGCTCCTCATTTAGTGGTTTTCATTACCACGAGCCACCCCCCCCCACGCTCGTGATCCCGGCTCCGTCTCCGGGCAGCATGACATCACCGCCGCCACTGGGAGAAGCGTGCCCCTCTAGCTTAGCGCCGTCAAGGCCAAGACGGGCTGCATTGCATCGGTCCCGACCGGGCCATAGGCCGGCAGCCATCAGAAAGCCTGGGAATGACATCCAACAGCTCCAAAGCAGGTCACACAGAACCTCACTCCCATCCTCTGGAGAGTCAGACCCCATAGTGTAAATTTCAGAGTGATAAATGTCTCACTCCCATCCTCTGGAGAGTCAGACCCCATAGTGTAAATGTCAGAGTGATAAATGTCTGTCGGAGTTACTTTGTTCATTTTTCCATGCTGGCCCATCCTGCTCTGGTTAATCAGTTTCTTTCAGTCCGCAGAAAGCAAGTCGACTGCTCTTATTGAATGAGAGCATGACGCTAATCACGTGCGACAGTAATTGTAAAAATGATAATTGTGGACAAAAAATACCACTCAGAAAAAGCATCCAGTACTCCCAATTTCCATTTGGGCTCCTTCCAGGGGTTCAGTTCAGTTGGTTTAAGATCTATTTTTGTATAGAAATGTAACCCCTCACCCCCCCCAGAGGACAAAGACCCACATAACTCCAGAAGCCCCCACCCTAAGCAGTCAGTCTCCCTCCCAGTGCACCCACTACTGGCATTACACTCCAGTAACATCAAAGTCGCCTTGTCCCAGTCAGTCAGACTTTGAGGTGCCTGGCTCTCCGTGATGGGGAGCTGCGCTAACTTTAGCGTGCTAACTCTCCCGATCACTCCATCTGTTTACGTGGGCCGGAAAAACATGGCCGCCTCTCTGTGAGCCTAGGAGACGGAGGAATGCCAGGCAGTGGGGAAGTGTGTGTTTGTGGGGGTGGGGGGTGGAGAATATGGCTTTGGTTTAAGTCTATGTGGACAGGTGTGTCGGGTATTAAGGGTGCTTGGGAAAACCTTGCTGTTCTGTCTGTAAGTTTCTCGCCTGGGAGTGAACTCAGTCATACTCGTGTCGCTGTAGAAAGCGCCCCCCCCCCAGCACATGGTGACTAATGTTGCTGTCTTCTTGGGGGGGGCCCGTACATCCTCTCAGTCCTGACCTTCAGAATCCCGTTCCTGGGCATGCGCCAAAGGAATAGACACACAGCAGCCATCTCAATAGTCGACCTGATTAATCCCCAGAGCTGCGTGGGGCCCTTTCCCATCTGTATGTTGGAAACATCGCTGTTTCTCCTTCTCCTGCGCAGTCATGAAGGTGGACCTCATTGCTGGATCAAAGATGCAGTTTAAATGAGTCAAGGGCCGTTAACTCGTAACAGCTCGGTGCTGAGGTAATCCGACTGGAAACGTGGCCTCAGAAGCAGTTTCCACTCCTCCACCATCTCTCTTTGTATCAGAGTAATAATATAATGTTGTGTGGGGTGATGTGTGGTCCAGCAGGTTAGGATGCCATGCCTGTAAGTGGAAGGTCACTAGTTCAAATCCCAGGACTGGTAGAGTGATGTCACCATTGAGTCCCTGAGCAGGGCTCTTAGCCTGCAGTTGTATGTTGTTTTGAATAAAAGCATCTGTGAAGTAAATATAAATTTCTGTTCTGTAATGCAGATTTAAAACTAATTGCCTTCAATGCCTGCTTAAAGTATTCGTGGAGTATCTTTTATCAATATGGCCAGAACGCAGGAGCATAATTTTCAAGTCGGGGCCCTTGCTGCAGACCAATGTTTGTCAGCCTAGTTCTTGGGAAACCCCAGACAGTCTACATTTTGGCTCGCTACTGTACCATACAGCTTCTCTAGCTGGGAGCTGGGCAGGAGCAAAACTGTAGACTGTCTGGGGCTTCCCGAAGATGGGTTCAAGATACAATGCCGTACGTGACACCCGTTTGATATCTCCACGTTGTAACCCCCCTCAAACATTTAGGTACCCGAATGTAGCCTGCGAGCTTCTGACGTCGGATGTGAGCCCCATCAATGACAAGCTGGGGGCGGACGAATCCCTCTTGGAGAAGCTGTACGGCTTCCTGGAACAGGAGCCCCCCCTTAACCCCCTGCTGGCCAGCTTCTTCAGCAAGATCTTTGGAAATCTCATCGCCCGCAAGACCGAGCAGGTATGCATGGGGCGCAGCACGAAGACTGCGAGGGGAGTGCTGGGAAAGGGGGCGTGGCCTGAATCCCTTTGGTGCTGAGTACAGCAAGGTCTCCTTCTGGGGGACAGTCTGTCTCTATAGCAAAACGCCGTGAACTGCCTGTTTGCCTAATGATACTGACAGTTATATCCACATTTGCACCAAGCATTTTCACACAGGTAAAGTTATTTTGATTCCTTATAGCGATATGTTTTTGAAAAGCCAGGTTTATTTCATTCTCTCTACATCTGTGAGATTGTGTTCTTTGCACTTTCTGTCTATGTTACTGGATATTTTCCCTATGTTATTTTAACAGCAGATTCTCTGCACCCTCCTCCAGGTCATTGCCTTCCTGAGGAAGAAGGAGGGTTTCGTCAGTCTGTTGCTGAAGCACATAGACACCTCGGCTATGATGGACCTGCTGCTTCGCCTTGTCAGCTGTGTGGATCCTGCCACCTTAAGGCTGGAGGTTCTTAATGTAAGTTTGGGCCATTTGTTAGAATCTGTTTATTTTAGTGCTGTCAAACGATTACAATTTTTAATCAGATTAATCACAGGGTTGCTGTGGATTAATTTCGATTAATCACGATTAAATATCATTCATTTTAATCTATATTAATCACATTTCATTTTGCATGAGCAAACAGACTCAAGAAAAAAGGGAATATA